GCTGCCAATAAATTAATGAAATTGGGACTGTCGTTTACAGTGGACTTCAACATGTGCAATCCATATGGAGCCGTTGAGGCTTTCGAATGATAATAGAGGAAATGTTAACGAAAAAAATCATGATCCTGTCTCATCATAAATCACTGGCTTGAAACATATCACATACGATTAAAACGAAAAAGACAAAAAATTCTATCTGTTTTTGCAAACGATTCGAAAAAACCGACGGACTGTTACGCGTTCAAATTCCCGCCGTACATCTGTCACAAATGCTCTACAGCAGGTTGTTTGTATTCTCCTCAATCTTGTAACTGTACTCGATATGTTGCTCACAAGTCCAAAAAGCAGTCATCTTCCGGCATTTTGCGTTTGTTTGGTCTACCTAAAGAAAAAAGCTAAGGAGGAAGATGCTTTCCAGAATTTTCCGTTTTCGTAGAACCCTACTCAAAACGACCCTACATTTTCCCCTCGATTCCTAACCATATTAACGCGTATAGATTGAGAATAATGAAGACTTCGAAAAAGGGCTCGATACCATTTTCACTCTACACCCGACGATTTCATACTAAATCGAGTCGTTGTGAATAATGAGAACATCACCGATTAGTTCTATGTTTCTCTGATTTGTTTTAAAGGACAAAGCAACCCATTTCAAATTAACTAGGGATGGTGAGTGGTACACGAAAGAAGGAAGAACCATGAGAAACGGCCCAGAACCCGAGAAATGGGACCCCTTCCTTGCCCGTTGATTTGAGCATTGATGCGACTCTCATCGCTGTGCCCTCTTCAACACTACGCTCTCTCTGCTATCTAATCACTCGCCACGTATAGACTGCGGCGAGTGATCAGATGATCGGTGGGCGGAGATCGCCGGACCCGCCAACTTTGAGGCATGATAGGTCGCCGAGGTCAAATTTTTCATGCGAATTGCGCGTCAGTTCGCACCCTCAGGAGGTCCGTGGGTCCCTCAACTAGGTCAATTACTTTTCTTCGACCTTCATTCTAATCGTGAATTCCTCCTTTAAACATTTACGCCGAATGCAAGCGCTACGATATTATGTTCCAACCCCATACAACCTGCCAGTGAAATTTGTGAACCAGCGTATACACCCTTTCAAAAAAAGAGAAAAGCGTCGGGTGCAGACCATACACCACAAGTGACGACGGCCTCCACAAAATGTAAATGTTTTCTGCCAATGAAATGATTAGCCTGTTGCAGTTGTATTCTATCAGTTGTCACTAATTACAACTATCATTTACCAAAAATCAGCTATCACTATGAACCACTACTAACCAGATTTACTTGGAGGCCGTCGTCACTTGTGGTGTTGGTCTGCACCCGAAAAACTTCTCGTTTCTCAAAAGGGAGGGTATATACAGGGTCTGCCAAAACATCGTACCATTAATAACATTTAAAATTTCAGAGAGGCAAAATGGACAGGATCAAGAAGTCGTTCAAAACGAACGAACGCCAGCAGCTGATCGATTCGGACGAGGAGCAGTAGACGGACATTGAGCGCACAAAATGACGTCGGCTATTCCTTGCCATTTCAACATGGGTATAAGAAAACACAAATACCTTCTATAATTTTTATTAGAAGAGGTTCATATCCGTCCTTTCCATTTCTCTTCTGCTGTTTACATGTACTAGTTTGAATATCACATAACATTATCGTTTTGTATTTATAATATTAGGCCTATTGTACACATTAATCCCATATAAAGAGCTTTAGTTTACTATAGGAACTATGGGAACTGTGGAACTACAACTAATCGTAGCTCTTTCGTGTTGAGCTTTGTACAGGTGTATATCATACACAAAACCATCTGCTGAGTCGTCCACAACAGTGGCGCAAAGATTCTCCAGTTTTTTTTAGTAAATGGAAATAATTACTGATTGAATAGATCTTTTATTTGAACTACTGTAATCTGTACTTTGTATACATACTTCAATACCAGTTAAGATCAAGATCGACACCGCAAGGTCCCTTGTAATCACCGGCGTATTGATGAATGGATGGCTTGGACCATCCACCGAACGGCACGAAGTTGGTGTAGTCCTAAAGAGTCAATGGTTAGGGTTACTCAGTAGTTGCACCAATCTAATTTCAATACTTACTTGATGTCCATTGTAGTTGGCCCACCAAAGTGGTCGACTTGCCCACTGATTCCAGCTGATACCGACAATGCTTCCCCAGTTGTTGTTGTTGGTGTAAATTCCCCAATTGACGCCCATTGCCTAAAAAATAAAGGCATCGTTTTGGAACATATTTTACCCGATTTTCGCCACTTTGCTCTCCATAGCTGCGGTAGGCCGGCCGTTTTCGCAGATTGAATGGCGACGTGAGAAGTTTGTTTTATTAGCTGCTGTGGCTGTTCAATCCGGCTTATCCTAACGCGAAACATCACCTTCCACGCTTTTTCTTAAGTTTTCGTGTTTATTTCAATTCAAGCGATTGCTGCTCGTTCAGAACTGAGTTTAGGGACGCGCATTACATTCGCTTTACAACCGTGCTGATTCACGTCTTACTGTATACATACATACAATGTTGTCAATGGGAACCTTGCGACAAAATGTTCTTGAAATGTCTCTCCGCAGAAAACAAGCCCATATTCACTGCTCTCGCAGCCTTCAAAATTTGAACTTATCCGTTGCCGTGGGGCATAATCGGGCTTACTGTAATTGCTCCATACTGAAGCCGCTACGTAAGCTCTTCATTCAGTTCACAAGTGTACATTTTGTAAAGAGAGTGGCTCTGAATGTGTGGGATCTCTCCAACAAGAATTTCGGTCGAGGTCCTAAAAGTCCACAATCAGTTGAGGAGCTGTTGAGCTCGACCCTACGCCATGTCCCCGTGACAGATTCTACCGATAGTGCCTGTGTCAAGGGCTGCTATAAGCTGTTCAATAGATTCAGTGTGATCTTCAATATTGAGTTGAAGGCATAGGGTAATCAGGAAATCGTAGTTGGTTCAATTCTTTTACACCCTACCATCCCCCTCCCCTCCCCGGCTGCATGTGCAGTGTGATTCTACGCGGTAAGCGGTTCACCCATCACCACTAAGGGTTGACATAAGTGATACCATGCTTTAGATGTATTCGCTTTTAGCTGTCAGAAACTGAATGTAATGCTACAATCTTCGCGTGCACAGTTGTGTGGCCTTTCAATATACGTGGCTGTAAAAGAGAAACGTTCGTAAGAAGCACCCACATTGAGCTGATTTCCCATAGCAGTGATGAAGTTCCTATTATAATTGATGTCATTCGGCCAGGCGAAGATCTCAATATCCAACCAAATCATGCCGAACTTAGCTCCTTCCGCATTGAGACGGTTCACTGTAGCTTCAACCTGCAGACAACAACAACCTGTTTTTTCTTTTCCTTTTCCTCTCTGGCTTCATCAGGGGGTTTAGCGATTTAGAATGTGCCATTTATGGAGCTCAATGAGAACCTAGCATGCCCTCCATTCAATTTGGCCTTGCAATCACAAGTTTCTTACCTGAGCTGCTGGGGCAGCGCATGTGCTCTTCAGGCACGGGAAAATGTAGGCGTCGACGTATTCCCAACCGGCTGAAATCAGTAAACATACATATGTCACCATAGCTAGACCTCTAAGTTTACACGAAGATGTTTAATCTAGAATGTTACAAATGGATCTCAAAGAAGGGGAATGTTTTCACTGTAAAGAATATAATCCACTGATAAATCTCGAGAAGTGCGCTCTCACAGCCGAGGACATGGCTGCGCAGCATGTAGCAGAGCTCTAACCATCCCTCTGGAAGCATTCGCCTCTGCCCGAGCCCAGCTGGCTGCACCATATGCTGGTCCTGCCGGACTCTAGGCTTTTTGGCACTGAGGCAGAGCAGCGCCACTGTTAAAGGCAAAAGTCGGGCTCAATAAGGGGGGAGGGTATACAGTGCGGCGCCCGTGGGGAGTACAGTGCGTACCAAAAGTATGTGGACACCCTGGAATCGATTCTCAGGGGGTCAGCTAAAGGCTTTTTATGTCATGAAACCTTCACCATTCAACTCCTAGTGGTCGATAACCTACAATGATATTTTCGGCAAAAGATTTCGTTCTAACTTAGCGAACTATTTTTCATGGAAAGTTTTTTCTTTGTATCAAAATTATGTGGACACTTTTTGAAAAACGGCAATATCTTCAGAATCTGAAATCGGTAGGCCTACCAAAGTTTCTAGTAAGTTGAGCCATTCTGTTTGGCATGCTATGAACGAGGTCTGGATATATGTCTTGCCGATCTTTTCTCAATCAGTCAATTTCACCGACGTGTTAGGTCACTTGTGATATTACTCTTTTGTTCAATGACGTAGAGACCGCAAACACAATATACCTCTACGTTTTCAATAAGGATGAAGTCTGAGGAATACGCTAGCCGACTAGTTGCCAATCAAAGCCGTTGCGTTTAGCATTTTTCCAAATGGAATGGTGTCAGGGACCTCCCCTGCAAAACAAGTGATTTGCGACCATGACTTTTCGAAAAAGGTTGTAGCCGGGACTCAAGCACCTCATTATAATTCTAGTCGTCTACCTGATAGGTTGACAAGCAAAATTTCAATGTCCTCCTCCTTTTGGAACC